CTTTGTATATTGACCAAAAAAGCATACAAAAAGCAAAAAAAAAAAACAGTCCACGAGAATCGCTTTGTATATTGACCAAAAAAGCAAATAAAAAGCAAAAAAGGCAGCCAAAAAGAATCGTTGGTTATATTGACCAAGAAACTAATAAAAAAAACAACAAAGAAGCAGCCAATAAGAATCGCTACATATTATTGGCAGAAGAGCAAATAATAAGCAAACAAAAAGCTACCAACAAGAATTGCTGTTTATGCTGATTCGACATTCAATTTCCAGAAACGAAGCCTATAACAAAGCAAAACAATAGCAAGAAAACGATCAAGCCCCCAAGAGAGAACGTCTGCTACTTAGATTTTGCTTTCAGAGTTCCCAGGCCCCCAAGAAAGAACGTTGGATTTTGCTATCGGCTAGCGGCTAGCGGCTATCGGGGTTCCCAAGCCCAAGCCCTCAAGAGAGACAACGTCTGCTACTGTGATTTTGCTTTCAGAGTTCCAAGGGTCCAAGGCCCCAAGAGAAAATCTGCTATTTTGATATTGCTTTCACGCCCCTAAACCTAGGACCTAGAAATGAATATCTTCCAAAGCAAGCTAAATTATATGAAATATTATGAAGAACCATGTCGTCAAAAATACTCAGCAACATAAATATCAGAATTTAAGAGATATTCACAGTCACAAACACATCATCGTCTCATCAAGCGATGTTTTGCGAGAGCGACGACGACGCACAGGCTCACACGGAAAACTGAAGCTGAGCTGCTCAGCAGCTGCACAAAGATGCGGCAGTAGTGATTGAACGATCGTTTTTATTGCACACAACACCTGCAGCACCACAATGCTTCATGGCAAGACCCAAATGGCCCAATGATAAACAAAAGTGCATAACAAGGACCAGCACCGCTCACATCTGCCACATCTGATGGGGCGGCATTGAAGCCCTTCGGACTTCCTGCAAAAGTTACCAGCGCTCTGTCCCTCTGCTGTCAAGCCACCACAGCACTAGTCACTGTCACTAGCACCACTGACACTAGCAGCATTAAGCCATCAAGCCAAGCTGTAGCCTCACTTCGCAAAACGACGGGCGCAAAAGCCTTAGCAGCCTTAGCACCATACTTAAGGCCTGCACAAGCCTAAAGGGACCAGAGCACAGGAAGCTGGTTTGAAGAGTCAGCCCCTGCGACACGTAGGAAGTGTTTACTGACCTACGAGCCGATGAGCTCTTTCGCGGCCTGCAAAAGGCCTGGCAAAATCTTGTCCTCCGTGATCGCACGAGTGGTCATTTCGGCCAACTGGGACCTCACGATGTTCTGTGCTGTGCCCGCTGTCCGCGTCGTAAGTGCGTGATGTAGCAAGGCTTCGAGGGTCATGACGGTACCCATGTCAAGCTCCTTCTTGGCGTTCCGAGTGACGTCACACAATGCCTCAATCTCCCTGCCATTGCCAAAGCGTTTGAAGGTCTCCAGGAACTTTTTGGCAGCTCCGGTCGCCTCCCAAATCTTTAAACTTTACACCTGCTACGACTATAACTATGGCTATGACAGAAAAGCCTACCTACAGGCTAGAGCTAGAGCCGAATGAGCCTGATGATGTAGTGCCTGGTCCTTGCGGCTAAAGACATAAAGCCAGCGGCTACAGATTTCATCGTTGAGGAATTGAGAGCTCATGGGTTAATAGACATAGAGGAAGCCCTCTGAAAAGATACCAAAACTACCAAAGGCACACAACTGCAAGAGTTGAGCCGCCATACTGTTACTTATGATTTTTCATGTGACTGGTTGTGCCTTGCCGAGATCATCGATTTTGGCCTTCACCACACCACCCTTGAGCGTGCCCAACGTGGCAGCAGCAACCAACTTGATCTGCTCAATGGTTGAGTCGGCGGTGAGTTTGGCTTTCCATGACTTTTCGTGCTCCGGAGGCTTGTGATGGTCCATGCTGGCTTCACGGAATGCCTCGACCGCCGAATTCAACGTTGTGATGTGCTGGGTTGCCCGCAGCCTGACACAGTCATCGACAGCAGCAAAGGTGAGGCCGCGGAAATGCTCAATCAACGAGTGCAGCAGCAGCATCGCGGGTGTCGACTTGTTGTCGTGCTCGTCCACAAGCGACCTCAAGGCTGCCTCAGCCTCCTGCGCCTGCTGCATCGATTTTTGAAAGGCTTGCAATGCCTTCCAACAGTGCTCCAAGATCATGCCTGTGCTGTCGCCCTGCAAGCGGGACGTGGCATCCGATCCCAAGTCAAGCAACTCACGCATCTTCGTATCGAAAGTGTGCCACTTCTTGCAAACATCAAGCTGGGAGCACATGAAGTTGGAAAAGCCATGTGTGCCAGCCTTCTTCACCGCCAACTCCACAGTCTCGATGTCCTTGATGCCGAGCTTCTGCATGGTCACCTTTGACCAAGCAGTCAGCTCATGAAGATAAGGAACCAATCTTGATGTGTGCGGCTAATACCCAACAAATGACACTGGTACTGATACACCACATCGTTCAAGCTGGAAAGTACCAAAAACCCTAAATTGCCAAGCCCTAATCCCTGCCCTAAACCCCTAAAGCCTTACACCCCTAAGCCCTAAAGCCTAAACTGGCCTATACCCTTTAGGAGAGCCACACCTCCCTTCTCCGAAGTGTCAAGGCTTGGGGTTTAGGGGTTAGGGTTTAGGGTTTACGGTTTGGGTTTAGGGTTTAGGGGTTTAGGGCTTTATGAAGGATCTTCCATAACACATAGTCAGAAACCTCCAAAAATATGCTTGCAACCCCAAGAAAACCTTGTAGGACCCTGAATATCCGACAACTGGTCTCTTTTGTTTGACCCGAGAGAGAACGCCTGCTATTTTGATTTTGTTTTCATTCCCTCTCCGACACCTGTGTCAAAGCAACAAAGCAAGTTTTCAAAAGGCTTCCAAACAGAACCTACGTCTATGTAAGTAGCAGACTAGCAACTAGTAGACAACAGTTAACTAGTACTAGTAACTAAGTAGAAGACTTCTCACCGAGCAACCCGAAGGCGGAGCGTCTTGAAAATCAATGGCATCGCTCGCTGGAGATCCTGTGTGCTCTCTGCATTCTCGGGGATCGAAGCCAGCATTGTCCGTAGCGTGTCCAACTCCACCTGGTGGCCCGGTGCATCTGGAAACTGGTCGGCCTCCGAAGCTGCAGCCAAGCTTGCCAAGTAGCCCTCCAACTTCTTTTGATTTCGCTCCGCTGCGTGCTTCTCGGCCCACCGCTTGAGCCGGCCGAGCAGGTCCAGGCAACCCGTGACACCCTGGAAGAACGTAAGGCCCTCCAAGCAAACGTCCACGAAGTCCTCCAAAGGTCCGAGGTCATCCAGGCTTTTTGCCTTGATGATGCCCGATGACTTGGTGAGCAAGATCTTGACCACGCTTTCCTCGAGGATGTCCGTGGCACCCTCTCGCAAATTAGCCTTGAGCTCTGGCATGTCCTCAATGGCGGCTTTCAAGACCTTGGGGAGCGAGTGGCCAGCAGCCTCAGCCTCGGTGATTGCTGCCACATGCGCTCCGGGACGTGAGCCCATCTTCAAAGTCGATGAAGCCGTCTTCAGCACACCATCCGTCATGCTGGACAAGGTCTTGCTGGTCGTCAAGATAAGCTTCATCGACTGCTCGAAATCGTGGTTGCCGCGGTAGTTCACAAGGGTTGCCAAGTCAGCGACAGTGGTACCGAGCACACCAAACTCTGGACACAGCAACACCAAGAAGGCTTTGGTCACAGCCGCGATCCGGGTCAAGCCTTCCTTGATCGCTGTACTCTCTGCCTCGATGAGGTCCTTGACGCCCTCGGAGTGCCACAAGGTCAAGAAGCTCCTGCAAAGCTGCTCAAGGGCCACCTTGTGCTTCTTGGGGTCCTGGATCATGCTGATGAAGTCGTCACAACCGAATCCATCCATCAAACTCTCCATGAGCTGATGCTCCTCGGCCTCGGCGGCCTCCTTGATCTCGACTTCATCCCCCTCGCCCAACCGCAAGGCCTCGTCTTTGTTGTCCCGAATGTCACAGAGCACATGGAAGGCCATCGGACTGTCAGGCTCGAAGCCCGAGGAAGCATCGGTCACAGCCGACTGCAGGGGCAAGAGGGCTCGGCAGAGCTTCTCACACAGCTCTGTGGGGTCTTGCTGAGAGCCGGATGCAAGCTCCCGCATCATCGCCTCGATGCGGAGGCCAAGCAGGTTGATCTGCACCGGGATTGGCCACGTCAAACCCTCGTCTTCTGCCACAACCAGATGCGCAACAGCCTCTGCCACCTGCTTCTCTCGCTCCTGTGGCTTTGTCTTCTTCCTCAAAGACTCAGCCGGGAGAGACAACAACTGTGCAGCCTCACAGGCCGCCACCCTGTTCTCCAGCAGCACGGTCGCCTTCGAAGCCGACATCGAACTCAAGATCTTCTTGGCCTGATCCGGCAAAACAAGCTGATATACTGAAGCCCTGCCCTATTGGGCCCTATTGGCCCTATTGCCACCTGAAAGGATTTGCATCGACAGTTTCATTTTGAACAAGCCATCTTGCCACACTCAAGGATTTGCAGTTGCGACTCTAGCGACTCTAGCACTCAGCAGCTATTTACTGACACACTCTCTTGAAATTATTGATCGTAGGTACGGCCTCGCCACATGATCAATTGATCAACTCAACATCCAATGATCTCCACTGGTTTCTACGATTCTACAATACAATCTACAATTCTACTCAGATTCTACTCTACTCATCAAGAATCAAGAACTTTGGACACCCCCCTGCCGCATCGATGGATCGGCCCAGACGCTCGGCACCGAAGCAAGCAGCCACAGTCAACTTGCTAAAGCAGTCCGGCACGTAGTTCAGCCTGGAAGCACATCGTTTCAAGCAGTCGTCCAGGTCCTCAAGCTTCTCATCCGTGAGATCAGATCCTGCGTTGGCCACGGAGCTGACCCTTCCCGTGGATGGCGCCCTGCCGCCGCCGCCACCCTTGCCACCCTTGACACTAGCCGCGGATGTGTTTGGGGCCTGCTTCTTCCTCCTTCTCTTGTTCGGCATTTCCTCAGGAACTGCACCAGCAACAGATCCCAAGGCAATGCTCGGCGCAGACCGAACCGGGGCAGGAGGCGGCGGCGTGTCCACATCTCCGCCATCAGGGGCGCCTCATGCAGAACAGCTAGATTATTTTAAGTGATGCTTGCTGGTAGAGCATATTCACCGACACCAGCAGGTCACCAACACTTCATCAACTGACTCTAGACTGCGGGCTTTAAAACAACGGAACAATACTCACAAAAATTCCACGGCATGGTGGCATAGCATAGCACTTCACATTCGTCGATTTGGCATGGACTCAGAAACACTGTGACATAGTTACATAATGACGAAATTGTTGTGCCACGCTTGGCATAAGGCCTCAGGGCTCTTGGAATTAGCATGGGTCGTCACACAGTGTTTGTCACACACACACACAAACAACAATAGCAGCCTACCAGCCAGGACTCTAATACCCCGGGCCTTGCCGGGCCTGCACCGACTTACTGCACTACTAACTACTACATTGACTACATTATGTTACTACTTAGTGTTTTGAGTTCCATCTGCGACCCGCCCCGGCGATTTCGGTTTGAGTTCATCAAAACACACTGAATCACTCTTCCTAGAGAAAGTTTTGCACCAAGTCTAGGAGTCTAGAATCTAGAGTCTACAGTTTAGAGTCTAGAGTGTACGGTGTAACTACAGTAGGTCCTCGGCCGGGGTCTCAGGGTGGAGAGTCGGTAAATGCAAGGCTTGTAGAATTATGAGGATTGGCTGACTGGCTTTGAAAAGCTGTCTGAGTTTGGGGATGTGGCACGGGTTTCGGGGTATCTCTGCTCTGACTTGGGGATCCAGTCATATAGCAGTCCAAGGCACCTACAGAGTCCTTGCTCTCTCTCTCCTGGATGATCTTCTGAGATTCTGCCATGAGGGCGTCCCAAGTGCTCGCCGATGCTCTCTTGACCATCGGCTCGGGTCTGCTGGCCTGCTCCGACTGACGAAACAGCTCGTAAGTGTTTGTGCCCTGCACCTGCACAAGCTGCTGGTCCGGCTGCATGACATGCTCGCACAACCGCACTTGGATGGTTCTCCAAATGCGGAGCTTGCGAACAGCATCCCAAACTGAGGTCGGCATGCCTTGGCCACTGAGCAGGAACACTGTCTCACTCTGACTTCCATCCTCCATCGACAGAATGCATTGGCATTTTTCATGCTTGAAAGCAGAAGGCGGCAGCTTGAAGTGCTTCATGACCTCGGCTTCTGTCAGGATGGCTAGGTCCTGGTAGACCGTGTAGCCGTTGCTCTTCAACGTGTCCACCGCTGTAGGCGGGGCTCGCTCGGGCTCCGCCTCTCCTGCATGCACTTTGGATGCTTTCAGCATCGTAGCCGCGAACTTCGGGTCCGATTGAAACTGCTCGCACGAAGACTCCCATCCACGCTTGGGGTTGACAGAAGCATCAGCATTCATGCAATGGAAGCACCCCGCCGAAGGTACTGGTTTGCCGGCGGCATCCAGGGCACCCCATTCCACGTCCTGGGGACATCCCGAGCAACCCACTGCAGGCACTCGCGATAAAACTTAACTAAACCACTCAAACTCAAGCTGCCGACCTGCCACTTTAATCCAACACCACACTACCACTCTGCTACTCACATCCAATTGGGTCTAAAATCAAAAACTAATCACAACATTTTTTGCACTAGTAGTCACTAGTAATAACTAATGATTAGGACCTGAAATCGGCACGAGAAGGATGCACCGGAAACTGATACACTGGAATCTCACCACTCCACGGCTCAGATGGCTCTACCCCTCTACCCCCTTTGAACTTTTAACAGTGCCGTCCTTGCTCGATGCTTTGCACCACGGACACTTCAAGTCCACCTTCTTGAACCTGTTCGCGACAAAACCGGAAGCCTTCGGGGCCGGTGCTGGCTTGGCCTTTGCTTGAGGTGTCTCAACCTGGACTACCATGGCCCAACTGTCCGGGTCGTCTTCATCATCGTTGACAGCTCTTGCCGACTTCGCCGCAGGAGCCTGCGCACCGGTAGCAAACACTAGAGCAGTCACCAGCAGCAACACTAACACTCACCAACAACAACCAATAAAGTATCAAAGTACTCTACCAGGCCTGATCATACTAAGAGTGACTCAAGCATACTTGCATACTTCGACATCGACCCAGCCTCAGGCTGGGGTTCCGTTTTCACCGCTGTGCGCTTCTTGGCCATGGGAGAACAACTAGCAGCTGGACTCACTAGAGTCACTAGACTCACTGCACAGAGAAGGACCTTAGAGCACAAAATGTTCAGACAAACTGACATGTCTCGATCTCTCACCAGGTCTTTCGGGGCTGTGCTGGATGTTAGCTTGGAGATTCTACTCGAGGAAGCAGAAGGCTTAGTAACTTAGTACGTTAGTTGCTTGTCGGCATACTCCTAGGATAGACCTGCCGTAAACATGATAAGGTAGCTGCTGGAATTGGTATTGTTATTCCTAGACTGACTAAGCCTCCTGACTCCCCCGACTAGACAGACTCTCGACTTCAGAGTTTGGACAAAGCAGCTAACTGGTCAAGTCCTGGATGACTGAAGGCCCGACCGACTTCACACACACGCACACAAAGGCTTGACTTTCTTGATTTGCACCTCTGCCAGTTGTCTGTGCTGAGCCATACTGTCCATGTGTTGACCGCACCAAACAAGCAAATCCACGAGCTGCCGCCACTGACTGACAGACAGAACTAACGAAGTGAGTAGGACGGCTACAATCTAGATTTGCCATTGCAACAGGGTGTTGAGATGGGATGTCCGGATTGGATAACCTCTCTTGCTACACGGCTACCCTTCATTCCCTCCACCTCACCTAGCATCCTAAATCTTTGGTCACGTTGGCCCCGAAACCAATGCAATACTCAATACTAGAACTACTGGAATTGCTTCCTGAACTCCTCAATGCCCTGGGGCCCTAGATACAAAGCTTCCAAAGCTCCAAAGTCCTGAAAGCCAAAGGCCACAAGCACACTCAGTCTGCTACTGTCCTTGGGGCCTTGACGAACCCTCATGATGGGGTACCATGGATCAGTGAACAAAGTGAGTAAAGCCTCGGGTACTCAAACTAAACCCTAAACCCTCCCGTTTCGGGGGAG